TTTTTTTTTCTTTTTGAAATAGTAGATAGGCTCTCCTATTGCCTGGTCCAGACTCCTCCCCCTTCTCTTCAACAGGAGTAGAGGCTCATCCCTGGTTTCCTGTTTAGGAAGGGGTTCCTGGTTTCTTTCCTTTTCTCAGACCTTAATAATGGGGCTTTCATGAATATTTTGTGATATCTGAGGATGGTGGCAATGTCTCTTCATACTGAGGGTACCGGGTTGGCAGTTTTCTGGTTGCTGTTCCCGATTGGTAGTTAAGAGCCTGAGTTCTTGTGTAACATCTTGAGAGGCTGCTATGACCAATAGTTGCATAATATCAGAGTTCTTGCAGTGCCATGTTGTACATGGAATGATGTCCCTGCAAGCAGCTCCAGTGGGCAACCTCGATGCCACACTATGTTGCAATCTGTGCCAGTTCCCTTCTGCACATGTTACATTAGATGACCAACCACTACTACTACTACTACTACCCTTGGCCTTTCCTTTACCAATATAACACATCATGATTATAAAAAACCAAAGATATAAACCTAAACCAGTTCAACGAAAAACATCTAAATCCCTTAACCTTTCTTTGTCCAACATTATGGTAATCATAGCAAATTCTACAGTGTAGAATCATTCCTCTTCTAAAAGTCTTCAGACATCGTGGCTCTCTGAGAAACTAATTTTAACTCTTCAATCCCCTCCTGATTTCTCAATTCCTGGCAACCTTTCTCTCTTTAAGAAGGACTCTAAAGTCCACATGCATAGCTGGGAGTTTGTCTGTTCGCAAACATCTCCTGCTGGCTAGGGAACTCTCTCTTAAATCTCCAGACCATTCTTACATGTGTCTCCATCTCTCTCTACTTAACTCAGTCAGTTATCTTTTCTTTTTCTACCATTTCCCTTCCTTTCAAGACTGTTGCCTGCTAGATAGTATTTCCAATAATAGATACAAAGCCATCTCCCTATATCCATTTGCAAATATATTCATGTTCTGTGACTTTAATAATGCCCTCTATAGCAGGTCGCTTAAACACTCTGTCACTAACCTCGCTAGTATCCAAACCCTTAACTTCTCAATCTCTCATGCTAGTGGTAGACTTCCCCACATGTTTCCCTAGTAACCCTGAGGAACACACTTCTCTTGATCTCTTTTTTCTTTTTTTTTTTTTTTTTAAGCTCTATCTCTGACTTTTATCATACTATGCAACTCTGTCCTCTTATTGCCCCACCAGCCAAGAACCCCCGACCAACAGAATATGCTTTTGTTATCAATCAGCAGATTGGGACTTGTTCCATAATTTCCTTTGTGATGTCTCATGGAAAGAAGTTTTTATTTATCCTGTTCAAAAATGCACATTTGAGGTCTCCTCCTGGGTATAAGCTGGCTTTGAGGTTTTCATTCCAGCAAGGAAATAGCAAGTTAAATCATGTTCATCTCCTTGGTTCTCATCTGCATAGTCAGTCACCATAGTTCATAGGAATCAATTCTTCTGTCTGTACCAGAGCGACACATCTGATTGCAACAGATGTCTTTTTGTCTCTGCTTGTAACGAGTGCAAGCATGTCCTCAATGAAGCAAAGTTACTGTTTGCTGATAGAATGAAACAATGTACAGTGTCTTGCAAGTTCAATTCTAGAGATTATTGATGGATCTGCAAGAGCAAATGCTCTATCTTTCTCCTATTCAATCATTTCAAGGTTCTAATATCTATAGCAGATAAGGTGGAATGCTTTGCTTGGAAATGATCTTCCAGCTCAACACTCGACTCATCTGGAGTATCCACACCTGATACCAACACCCCACCCCTAGAACTGAAGGTATACTGAATGATATGTGCATAACCCCGTCACTGGTCTTGAACATCATTTCTAAATTAGACATCATAAGGCAAGTAGATGTGACTTGATACCAGTCGTCGCCCTAAAGAAATGTGTTCCCGAGCTGGCCCCAGTTCTATCTAAACTCTGCCTTGCTGCTTTTCAGCTTATTGGAAGGACAATTGTTTGATTAATCCAATCATTCCTATCAAATCATGAAATGAAGGTCATTCCGAATGGGCTCACTTCCAGATCCTTTCACACAAATGTGTGTGTCCCCCAAGGCTCTATACTGGGTCCTATGCTGTCGTCATCATCAATGATCTTTCTGATGTCATCAGTTCCCAAGTAGGCATTTATGAAGATGATACTACCATTTACTCCAGTCTCAATAGCAAATCCACCAGAGCCAACAAAGTTAACCTGGCTGCAGCCCTTGAAAAGCACCTCCAATCAGTGGTTAACTGGGGCAGGAAATGGGTTGTAAATTTTAATGCCTCCAGAACTAAACTGCTCTCATTAAAAACCATAGACAAAACTTCCCTGCTCACCATCAGCATGGCTGATGCTCTTCTCCAGGAGATTGTCTCACTGCACCTTCTTGGCCTCACATTTTCAACTGATTTGAAGTGGAACCACTAAATTGAATCAATAACTGCAAGGAAAGTTGATTCATTATGTTGTGCCAGAAGGCTTTTCTCATCAGTGTCCATCTTGCACATTTACAAATCTACCATTTGTCTGTGCATTGAATACTGTTGCTATATCTGGTCTGGTGATCCTGCTATTCATTTTGAGATTCTTGATAACAACCAAAGAAGGATCTTCAATGTAATCGATCCTGACATGGCATCTCGACTCCAGTCACTCTTTCACAGATTTAATGTGGCATCTCTCTGTCTTTTCTATAAATATTTTCATAGCAACTGCCTTGACAAGCCTCCTCCCCACTAAATGAATTTAAATGTGCTACTAGATTGGCATCTAGATCCCACCCTTTTACTGCTGAAATAGTTAAATGCAACCACCACTTCTAGGCTAACAATTTCTTTGCTCACACTTCCTGACTGCAAAACTCCCTTCCACTTACTTGTTCCCTAATAGCTACAATCTTCAAAAAAATTTAAAATGCAATGTCAATCATCATCTTCTATTGTCTTGAACCCTGTTCATGTTTTATCCCTTCTTCTATACCCAGTTTTTTCTATTACTTTCACTCTCTGTAACCCCCTGTGTACTAGTGACACTCCCACCTTGCTTTGGATGAAATGATTTAAAAAAAAAAAAAGAAAAACATCTCTGAAGTGGAAGAGAGAATTGATAATAGTTTTGTTTTATGAAAAGATGAGCCTATTTTAAAAAAAAAAAAAAAAAAAGAGGGGGCCCAACTTTAAATTTCAGACATGCAAAAAATGTTATGGTAATAAGACAGTTTTTCTGTACCGCTTTTACTATATAATCCTTTGGTTCCCTTGGCAATGTTTATTTTAAAAAGCTATATTTAGAATTTTGATAACAAAAATGTTACACACTATTTAGTTATTAGATTGTTTATTTACAAGATGATAAAAATATGTGAACCAACAATAATGCAATATTATTTACCATTTTATAAAGATTTACGATACATAAATGGATGCTTCATTAATGCAACATGGCAAAAGAACAAACATCTAGTTAACGTGACATAGAGAAGGAACAGACCTTTCCTTAATGCACTGTAGAATGTTGAGAATTTCTTTGTGCTTTGTTTTTTATAAATATGAAGAGATGGCTTCTTAATGAGAATTATGAAGCATATGTAAATTTTGAAAACAAATTTGAAATCGACCCTCAACTGATTTTTATCCAGAAATTTCTATAAAATTATGATGGCTAATAAAAATGTTTTCTTTTTCTTTTTTTAAATCTCTAACAGAAATGAAAGAAAAAATTAATTTCAGATCCCACTACTGTTTTGGTTTTTGGAAAAAAAAAAAATGTTTTGCATTGGAATGTTTCAAGATTTTCTAAATGTTACTCTTTTTTTTTCTTCTTTTTTTTTTTTTTTTTTTCTGGTTAGTGCCAACCAACTTTGTATTTTTGCATTCTTTGTCTGGTGCATGGCACAGAACCAGGGCATCCATGTTCTTATCTCAAACTATACACAAAGACTATATGAAATAAAAATCATACCCAGTTGAAGGATTCTTTGAATTAAGGTGTTTAACATGAACAAATGTAAACTTGGTTTTATGATCTCGTCATAGGTTCAAATCTCACTACTTATTTTTTTAGTGATAGGGAATAATTTGTTTTGTTCATCCATGTTAGATCTCATGTATAAATAGAATTTTCTATATATGTTTGTGTATATGCATAGTGTGGTTAAACAGGACAATGGTCTAGTATCAGTTCATGAATTTGGTGATATAGTATAGTTGTGAGTTCAATCCTTGGATCAGGTAGTATGTACTTGGACTCGGAAATTGGCAAGCAATAGCTGAGCAGTACTAAAAATAAGAATTAGATGCAGGTATACCTAAATATGGGCAGTGAAACAAGAACAGTCTACCCTTGTAGATTAAAGGATTCAGTTCAGAATTCCTGTAGGTTACTCAGATCACAATATATACCTGAGGAAGGCTGGAGAGCACAACAGCCAACACGTTGTGAGAACAGCAACAAAGGTGATGATAGTCGGAATATAAATAAGTAAATAAATATTTAAATTTTGTAAATAAATAAATCTTGTAAATAAATATCTTTAGGATAATATTTAACTTAGGGAAAATTATCTTGTATTTTTAGGATATTACTTGTCTGTCAGTCATCCTGAAAAGGCTGAGTAAATAATGAAATGTTATATTTCCTCAGTTACTTACCAAGAAAATGATTACTATATTTACTCAAGAGCTGCCTTCAGTCATCTTTAAAACCAATGTCAATTTATTTCTTCTTTTATAGGATTCGTATTATAATTATTTGCAACTGTATTTACCCTGATATGCAAAAGATATGGGATAACAATATGTAAAGATAATGATAAGTAGTATCACTTTGCCTTGATATCCTAGAAATGCTCAAACATATATCACTTATGGCCTGATATTTGTAGGAGCGCTGACTAGGTTGCTCATCTTATAAGGTGATATGAATTATCAGAGTTCATGGTAACAGATGCTACATATGAAACTTTGGGTTTACAGCTATATAGCGTTGAAACACTGGTTCTCATACGATCACTGAAGTTAAGCAATGTCAAGCCTGGTCAGTACCTAGATGGGTAACTCCTTTGGAATATCAGGTACTGTAAGCTTTGTGTGGATGGTGTAATGAATAATGGCTCGGAATTGTTAATTGGAGAGCTGAGTTCCAATTTCAGTTGGCTTTGTTATATTCACTTACTCACAAATATCCTTGTAAAAGGTATGAATCCACCTCTTCTTCTCCCCCCCCAGCTATGGGTTAATTAATAAGACTTGTCACTAAAAGCATTATTATCTCGAAAAAGAATTCTTGCAATCTAAAAATATTTTCTGCCTTTGAATAACCTGCAAAGTGTTGATAAGCCATAGGTAAATTAATTAATGAATTGAACTTTAGGAAAATTTGATATCTCTCAATCTACAGTGTGTGTGTGTGCTTGAAATACAGGACACAGAAGATTCTTACCACTCTATAAACAGTGCAATAACCAACCACAAATCATTGATGATCATAAAAAGAAGTATTTGGTCTGAACTGTCATCTGTAACAGACAAATGATACTGGCTCAATTCACATTCAATGTAGGGCATGTCAGATGCACATCCAGCAAATCAGTTCAGTATTATTTAACTTCATATTGGAACAGAAGATTCACTAGAATGTCCCTATTTATACAAAACACAGCATCTCACTTGAGCTTATGACTAATTAAACCCTGGAGGACTGGTAATGAGGTTTGATGAATCATGCTTCCAGTTGTTTGAGGCTGATGGTAGGGTTTCAATCTCTAAAAGAAATGAAAGAAAGTTAACTTCAGATCCTACTACTTCTGTTTTGGTTTTTGGGGAAAAAAATGTTTTGCATTAGAATGTTTCCAGATTTTCTAAATGTTACTTTTTTTTTTTTTCTGGTTAGTGCCACTAAAAGCATTATTATCTCCCAAAAAAGAAAAATTCTTGCAATCTAAAAATATTACTTTTTGTATGAATGATTCATTGTTTATATATATATATATATATATATATATATATATATAATGTTAAGAAATGGACGAGGTCCGACAATTTATTTATTAAAGACATTTTTATTTATGTTTAACGTTGTTATTTTATAGATACAAGTATTTAAGCAAATGCTCTGTTTATGATAAACAGTATTAAATAACAAATTGTCTACCATAAGGTTCATGGTGGCCGAGTGGTCAAGGCACGTCAGCGTATATGACGGTTCCAGATAGGATGCAGGTTCGAATCCTGTCTATGAACGAATATTTTCTATGAAAATTTCTCTCGGACATTCAGGCCGGTAAATGTTATTTAATACTGTTTATCATAAACAGAGCATTTGCTTAAATACTTGTATCTATAAAATAACAACGTTAAACATAAATAAAAAAATGTATATATATATATATATATATATATATATATATATATATATATATATATATATATATATATATATATATATATAAACAATGAATCATTCATATAAAAAGTAAAAGCACAGGCCCCATAAAGCCATGGAAACCAGTTCTCAACAAGACACAGTGCAGGTTTGATGGTGGTTCTATAATGCTGTGTTAATCTGGTATGGGCAGGGTCTGCAGGTTTGCCTAAACGCATGTATCCCAACAGCAATGGATTATTCCAGCAGAATAATGCACCATGATATCTTAGCCAAGTTGCCCAAAATCATTTGATGATTGTTTTGGAAACTTCTTATGATTGTTGTGGCTATTATGTTTACCAGAGTTTGAGCATTTACAAGACATGGTGAAGAGCTCTATTCACACACAAGATCTTGCTCCTACAAATACCATTTTTTGTTGTTTTTCAAAAATTTTAATGCAATGCCACTCATTTATCATTCTTTGCTTAATGTTTCTTTTCATTTTCTCATTCTCCCACATTCAGTAAGCAGGTATCATAATAAACTACATTTGTCAACAAGGCTCCTGATCAGGAGGTTTTGAGGTATCACCTCTTAATTGCTGCTTGTCTCCAGGTTCACTCTGACCTGGGGTGGTAGCACCTATTAGGGTCCCAGCTATCATGGGTGAATAGTGAACCCCTATACAAAAACAAAACATTTCGAAAGTATAAAAAAAACTGGCAATATGTTTTTTATATAAAAAAAGATTGCCAACAATGTTTTATAGCAAAATGACCAACAATACATTTTATCTATGGTTGAAGGCATACAATTGTGTTCAAATATTTAGATTTCAGCATTGAATAACCCATAGAGCTTGATATACCACTAAACAGAATCAACCAATGAAGGCTCAATAATACCTTGTATCTTAGTGGCTTTATTGAAATGATTAAAACAAAACTATTGGAGTTGTGAACAGTTATCAAAACAACATGGCCCAATAGATTTCCAGAACTTCTGACCAGTTGTGAAATTGATGTCTTGTCAAGTTGCTGCACTTTTCTAAACTAGGAGTCCTATAGGATATTAAGCACTAAATGGAGAACTGGAGATGATGCTGGATGATTGCTGGTTAGTTAGCTGGAAGGAACAGATACTACACTTTCTTTGTCATCTTAACCATGGAACACAGCCTGTTTTGAGTTGCTTTGAGGCCTCTTTATATCCTAAATTGGTCTTACAACAACACTGGATAATCTTTTTCTTCTGGTTGCTTCTAAACAAATGTGAAAGTGTTGATTGGATACATGTTTAAACAACTTTAATTTTGATTTGTCAGTTATGACAAGATTTCATGATCAAGGTTCAAGGAGAGGAAATAATTGAAGGTGAAATTTTTCCAAACAATTTTGTTTGACATCTCTTAAAAATGTTTACTGAATATCTCTGCTGGACAAGCATGTTTTCATTGTGTCACCAAATTTATATCAACAACCCCAGAATTGGAATTCGGAAGTGTTAGTTGAAAATATATCAAAAAGATTTTCAAAATATTACTTTTTCTTTCTGCTGGCTGGTGCCAACCAACTTTATATCCCTACATTCTTCATCGGAGGCATGGCACAGAACCAAGGCATCTAAGTTCTTATCTCAAATAGTACAAAGACTAAAGATCTGGGGGAGAAAAAGGATCCTACCTAGTTAGAATATTTTTTTTTTTTTTTTTTTAACACGTCACTATTATATCGCTCATGTTGATCTAGTTTAAGTCTAATGTACAGGTTGCTATCCCCCCGGCCCGCAAAAAAAAATTGAATCTGAAGAGCACATACAAACTAAATGTAGTATACTTTTGTTGATACCTTTTTGTGAGTTTGCTGTATAACACATGCCCAAAAGACATAGGGAGACAATAGAGACTAGATATTAAGGTAAGTATTTCTTTTTTATAATCAGATACCTAAACCCTTTTTGGTAGCCTGTCCTATAAAAAGGATTTTCTCTATTTGTTTTAATAATACTACAATGTTTCAAATTGTTATATTGTTACAAAATTTTATTTGTATGCTTAATAATGTATTGTATAGTTTCACTTGATTTCATAAACTTTGCATTCATGGAGGCACCTAGTAAGAAATAAAATCAGAAACACAAACATATATACTGAATAAACTAATCTCTGTAAATCATCAGTTCAATCAATTGCATATATTATTAACGCAACAAATTATTCAGCACTTATTTCAATTAACTGTGTTACTTAGAACGATTCAGTCACTACTTATATAAATGAAAAAGTCTTAGTTGGCAATGTGACAGATGCCTTATAAAAAAAAGCACTGTTGATTACTTACAACTAGTAGTCAATGTAATAGTTACCAAATGTTAACTGATACAATAGTCAATGTAATAGTTACCAAATGTTAACTGATACAATAGTCAATGTAATAGTTACCAAATGTTAACTGATACAATGGTCAATATAATAGTTACCAAATGTTAACTGATACAATGGTCAATATAATAGTTACCAAATGTTAACTAATACATTGACTACTGTTTGTGGCAATAATTGTAAGTAAAATGATGCACTAAAATAAGTAATCATTTAAGTTCTCTGAATATCAATGCCTGTTATTAAGACTTTGTAGCTACCATTGATTTGTTGTCTATTAGAAAATATGACTGTGGTTTGCAAGCTTGTTCATGGGATCAAATTGACTCTGAGTAACACAAAAGAAATTAATGTTTTAGACCATGTTACAGATAGTAGTCAACCAATTTCATTCTCTCTTCTGTGGATGCATGGGTAATCTAATGACCAAGAACTTTTCAGCATCCCCTTACTTTGAGATATATATATATATGTGTGTGTGTGTTATTTTTGGTGGATATCCATGTTTGAAATAGATGCCTTGTTTTTAGTTTAAACAGTGTGTATTACATCTATCAACCTGTGCACTTGAGAAAACTTTAAAAAAAATGTGCTCTCCAAGAGAAGGTGGGGACACAGGTTTGGACCCTACCAAAGAGCACATTTTCTTTATAAAGTTTTGAGTGATCAGGACACTAGCCTTATTTATACAGTTTAAAATAAAAGAAAAATACAGGGCATCTGTTTCAAACATGGGTATCCACTAAAAATAAGGTTTGAAGTAGCAAAAATGTCATTAAAAATAAATTCATTAATTCTTTAGAAATATATGAGAGATGGTGTGATAAACCTGGCCGGAAAACTGTACTGAAGCGTGAAACTGACAGATGCTGTATTGCTTCCTATGTCCATACTGTCTATACCAATAAACATGCTATCTCTGATACTGAACACTCTTCTCCAATAAATATAGCAAAGTTTAAACATATATGGTTGTAGCAATTAATCCATAATTTAACTTATATATATATATATATATATATATATATATATATATATATATATATATTCATTAAATAATATAAACAAGTTTTGTCTATTTTAAGTTCCTTTCATATTGTCTGATAAGCATAATAACATTATCATTGAAAGACAAAAGGAAATCATCATATTGATATGTTTAAATCCAATCTAAGCTTACATAAGCCATTATCAAAGATGACAATTACATTTCAATACATTAAACAACACACGCACGGAACAATAATGATAGTCTGTTTTGTTGCATGAAAAATTTCAAAGCAACAACAAGCTCTTGTATACAAGACGCATAAGCGAAAATCGCGTTGCAGCTCGTGACGTCATACATGACCACACAAGAGTGAAAACGAGAAGTATTAAGTATAGGAAGCCGTTGGTATAAACCAATGGCTTCTGTTATCAATTATAGGCATTTAAGAATATTTGGAGATTTCATAGTTTATTTTGTTCAGATTAGGTTTCAACTGTTTTATGCGTATAGCTTCAAGAATTTTTAATTTTTGTTTTTCATGTATCAATATGGCAATTTCCTTTTGTCTTTCAATGATAATGTTAAGTTTATCAGACAATATGAAAGGAACTTACTTAAAATAAATATATAAAACTTGTCTATATTATTTAATGAAACATGCATTAATACATATGTATGTATGTATGTGTGTGAAAATCTATCACACAGTATTTAAATTTGTTCATTGTAATTGTTCAGATGAACTCTTCGCTATGGTACCTAGACTTTTTTAATTTAAGTGCAGTACGAGACTGGTATTGGGATCTCGTCAATTTACAGTGGAGCTCACTAGATGTAGCTGTAATTTCTATGCTAAGATTCTTTTCTTACTTGTGGAACTCCCTTCCAGCCAACTTTAATCTGTATAAATTTAAATGCAATGTCAGCCGCTATCTACTGTCCTCCTGATTACTCTTTCCTCTTCTCATTCATTATTAATGTTTCTAATTCGTCTACACCCTGTAACGCTTAGTGTTTTAGTGGCTTTACTACCTTGTATGGGGTGATACTGATTTTTTTTTTTTTTTTTTTTCTTTTTTTTTTTTTAAAAAAAAAGAATTCTGTGATGATTTTTAATCCTAGGATGACATTTCTGTGATGTAATAAACCAGGATAACTGAATATGAAAACGAATCAATTGGGAGTGTGTTTGGTGGGGGGGGGTCGGGTAGAGCAAAAAACAAATCTATGACCAATTAATCAGCAAATGGTAATATGACCAATTATTGATGATCAGCTGATTAATTGATTCAACCCAAATATATAGAAATAAATAGCTACATAAGAATGTCATATCCTAATGATGAAAAAAAGGATTCATTTTATATAACAAATATTTTCAACAATCTCCATTTTTTTTTTTTTTTTTTTTTTTGTCAGTGCACTTAACCCAACACTTCTTTCAGCTTATGACCATATCACATTAAAACAGCGATTACCATACAATCACCAAAGTTAAGCAACATCAAGCCTAGACAGGTGTCTGTTTGAATACCAGTTGCTGTAAGCTTGGATTTGCTGGAGGTGTAATGAATAATGGCTCAGAATTGTTCATTGAAAAGTTCCAATTCCAGTTGGGTTCATTATATTATTCACTTACATGCAAATACCCTTGGAGGGAAATATATGAATCCACCACTTCTCTCCCTAGCTATAGGTTAATTAGTAAGATACAGTGAAAATTGCTGTGTCATGTTGCAAATTTATTGATCTTTTTTTCTAATCGTTTCATCCAAAGTAAGGCAATAAAGTTATGATGCAATGTGTTACTGAGTGTAAGAATATGCAAAAAAGAAAAACATGAAGGAAGGAGAACAATAAAAGAGGAATCAAGAAGACAGAAGATAACAATTGACATTGCATTTAAATTTTTAAAGATCAAAATTGACTGGAAAGCAAATGAGTTTCATAAACAAAAAAATGTGAGAGAAGAAACTGTTAGCATTTAGAACTTATGGTTACATCTAGCCATTTCAACTATGATGAGACCTTGCTGCCTATCTAGTACTGAACTTAAATTCATAAAGTCTACATACCAATGAGGAAAGCTCATCAGAACAATTACTATGAAAATATAGAAAAGTGGAGGAAAGCAACATTACAGTGGTGGAAAAGTGAGAGATATATATATATAATTTAACATGTCAAAGTAAATAGAACTCTCATCAGTAAATTGGTCAATAGATGTCTAGATTAATAATTATTGTATCCAAAATATTGAAGGTTCAGGAAACTCAGTTATAAATAAAGTTTCCTAAGATACATGGCATTTTAGCATTAATCAAGTTTTTAATTATATAAATAATAAAAACACCTATTGATATACATTTTCTTTTAAACATTTCATGCAAGGGGTTACTGAGTGTAAGAGACTATGAGAAAAAAAACATTAAGGAGGAACAACAAAAGAAGAGGAATGAAGAAGACAGAAGATAACAATTGGCATTGCTTTTAAATTTTTGAAGATCAAAGTTGACTGGAAAGCAAGAGATTAGAAAGGAGTTCCACAAGTGAGAACTGAAAGAAAAAAAACTGTTAACCTAGAAATTGGTTACATTTTGCCATTTCAATTGTAAAATGATGAAACCTAGCTGCCAATCTAGTAGTGCATTTAAATTCATAAAAGTCATGATACCAAAGTGGAATGCTTATCAGAAAAATTACCATGGAAATGTTTACAGAAAAAGTACAAGAAAGCTATTCTATAGCAGTGGGAAAGTGACTGAAGCTGAGGTGCTAGGTTAGGACTGATAACATTGCAGATTTTTCTTTGGATTTTATCAAGAATCTCTAAGTATATAGCAGAAGCACCAGACTTCTACTCTCCTTTGCATGTATATGTAATAAAATAATAACGTATATATATAATAAAACACTGAAAATTTCTACATTTTTTTCAGTGTTCACTGTTAATTTATTGTTGAATTTTATTTTATCAATTTTGTTGAAAAAGAAAGTCATCAATATGATAAATGATTATTATTATTATTATTATTACCTATACATTAATACGCTTGTCATGTTTGGTAGAGACACACATAGAAAGACAAAGACTGTGTTACACAGAGATATAATGAAGTGGGTGTTATCTTAGATAAAGGCAGTTGTTTGTAATGATGAGTTAAAATCCTGTTTCGTTCGTGACCTAACGATCTATTGAGGACATTTCAGTATTTTTAAGAGAGACTATCACTTTTCTTATATAACTATCTGGGAATGGTCATGGGTTGAAAGGTACAGAGTGCAGCATCAAAGAAAATTATTATTAAAACTGTGTAATTTATACAGGTTTTGCTAGTTGTTATTTGTTTATGACTTGTGTGTGTGTGCGTGTTTAATAGGTGTACCCACTGAACTCTTCCCAGATAACCTAACCTAGCTTAATTCCCAGTTCCGTAGTAGCAGCATTTTCTTTGTGATCTACCACCTCCTTGTTGAATCCTTTACACGAAATGTCATGTTCATGCATGTGTGTGCAGGTGTCTCATGCACACTTGTGTGTTTTATGGTGTTTAAATACATTTGTGTATTTATATGAATGTCTCTCTTGGGATTTGATTCAGTAAGCCAAGGTCTTATGGAAAGATACCTGCCATCTCTCCCTCTGTTTCCCCTACTCTGATTATTTTTCCTTTCTTTTCTTTTTCTCTCTCTCTTCTCCAGCCCCATTTCTCTCTCTCTCTCTCTTCTCAGCCCCATTCTCTCTCTCTCTCTCTCTTCTCCAGCCCCATTTCTCTCTCTCTCTCTCTTCTCCAGCCCCATTTCTCTCTCTCTCTCTTCTCCAGCCCCATTTCTCTCTCTCTCTCTTCTCAGCCCATTTCTCTCTCTCTCTTCTCCAGCCCCATTTCTCTCTCTCTCTTCTCAGCCCCATTTCTCTCTCTCTCTCTCTCTTCTCAGCCCCATTCTCTCTCTCTCTCTCTTCTCTCAGCCCCATTTCTCTCTCTCTCTTCTCTCTCTCTCTTCTCAGCCCTCTCTCTCTTCCCCAGCCCCATTCTCTCTCTCTCTCTTCTCAGCCCCATTTCTCTCTCTCTCTCCCCAGCCCCATTTCTCTCTCTCTCTCTTCCCCAGCCCCATTTCTCTCTCTCTCTCTTCCCCAGCCCCATTTCTCTCTCTCTCTCTTCTCCAGCCCCATTCTCTCTCTTCTCTTTCTCTCTCCCCTCAGCCCCATTCTCTCTCTCTCTCTCAGCCCCATTTCTCTCTCTCTCTTCTCCAGCCCCATTTCTCTCTCTCTCTTCTCCAGCCCCATTTCTCTTTCTTCTTCACCCCCTTCTCTCTTTCTTCTTCACCCCCTTCTCTCTTCTACGCTCTTTCCTCCTTCCCCCTCTCTCCAAACTCGTTCTTCTCTTTTCTATTCTCTTTCTGTCCTCAACATTAAATTCCTCATCTTTTTTCTTTTTTAAACAAAAACAACAATGGGGGGGTAATGATATAATTCTCATATGAAAACTAAACAGAAATTAAGAAAAAAAATGTCAGTATGATGATTTTTACAAGGTTTTGCATGGTTATCAGAGCGTTCATTATCAACGTGAATCTTTGCAGAGTGATTTTATCTTGACAGCTGTAAACATTTCTAACAAGGGAGAGATGAATGTCATGGAAAAAGACCTATTTATATGCATTTAACAATCCTGAAAAATTCTTTCTTTGTGGGGCGGGTGCAGTGAACAGAGTATGGTTAATTTAAAAACTTAAAGTATCCATTTTGATTTAACAAAATAAAACTCTGCTTATAAAATGTATGGAAGAGGGTTTTCTATTCAATGAAAACTGACACTTTAAAACGGAAATTTCTTTTTTAGATCTTAGACTAGAGTATAATGGAACGCTGATTATCCGAGCAATAAAGTAAAAGATACGGTCATCAAAAAAGGGGGAAAAAGGAAGCCATAACTAAACAAACACGTTAAAAAAGTAGGGGAATTCATTCAATCAATAAAATAAGTAAAAACAGTATTGCTTAAAATTTATATTTTATTTTGCAAAAAAAAAAAAAAAAATCCTTGTGTCAAAAAACGAAAATATGGAATAGAAAATTCAAGGAATCCTGATGTAATTGGTGCAAAAAATGCGCTAACTTTGAATTGAAGTAATGTAAATCGATGATGAAAATTGATGTGGGGATCGTTCATTGTTTTGTGAGGAAAATATCCAGTAGCTTTTGCTTGTTTCTACAGTTTTTGCCAACGATATCATTTGACGAAGATTTATCCCCTTTCAATTTCATACTAACTACTCTGAAGTCACAAATCGTTGATAGTTTCGTTCAAACAAAAGGACTATAGAACGATCTTGTCTTTCTTAATCTTCGGCGTCTGTATTTTCCCTGTTATTTTGATCATTGTCGAGCGTTTCAGTTTTTACCCATGCATCGATCTCTAGAATCTTCTAACCCCAACTGTCTGCAATTCTCAGTGATTTCAAAGGTCAGCCTTTCATCAGGACGAACTCTCTCTTTGCAGTCACGACTATCGACACGCAAGCCATTGTACTGTCGATAGCTTGATATTGTTCTGAGACTCAACGATCATTGCCAGAGCTTCCATCTATAATTTGTAATAATCTATTGCCTTCCCCAACGATGGTACGCATCATGTTACGGAAATGATATATATATATATATATATATATATATATATATATATATATATATATTACGAGAATTGTCTGATCGAGCTGCTGTAGCAATGAAGTAGTGATCTAACGGCAGTTTTTCTTTATATTTATTTTGTAAAAATTACAAAATTTTGACACAAGGCCGAACGGCAGCTTTTCTATCACCATTGTGACGACACTAACTTTGTCAGCAATCAACAGAGCACGTTGTTTTGAGTCCACCATTATGTGATCAGACGACAGGTAAAGATTCTTCCAGAAATCAAGATGAGGGAACAAAAAAAAAGTAGATATATCGTCCACGGTTTTAGTTTCACTTCACAAGCATGCACGAGTGGCATAACAGTACGGGGAGTGGAATTGGTGAACCGGGTTCAAATTCCGGTCTAATCCATTGTTCTCATTTTCGCACAAATGCCCTTGTGGGGGGGGGGTCACGAATCTTATCTTTTTTTTTTCCTCTCCTGCAGGTGAAACTAGAGACTCTTTAGCCTTCGATGACAGTCTAGAACAAGGGATTACTCCGAATTCAAAATCATAAAGACAACGGAAACTACACCACTATCTTTCCCAAGAAGTCATGGCAAGTTACAGCAAATAAAGAAAAAGGAATCTACGGAGATTCATGATCCCCCCCCCCGCGCTACATTGTGAAGGGACAGAGCATTAAAAAAAAAGTACTTCACAGGAAATTAATTCATGTTACAGTTCTTGAAGCATTTTATTAGTATAACACCCGACTCTGACAAGCAACAATTTAGGAACGCCTGTGGCGTTGACGCAAGAAAAGGAAAAGAAATGTAAAGGGATCCTTTTTCGCCTTATATCTTGAGGCCTGATTTTCTTCGTTGGGTGCAAGTGTTTTGTTCAGCAATGCACACCCAAACAATCAACTTTCGCTAACATTGTACAGTTGTTCAAGTTCATATTTTCATCGTGAACGAGGCATTGAAATTCCTGTTTGAATCTCTCCGCGATGCTGTCATCCACGGACTTCTTTTCTCGAAGAACCCAAAGTTATGTCTAATAAATGTGTTATGCTGTGATCCATCTCTTGTGGATTCATTCATGGGAAAGTGAATTTCAACATCGAACCAGACAACGAGTATCTCTTAGTTATCGTTGTCGAAAGTGAAATCACCGAGGTGAGTTCACATTCCAACCGAGTCAGTTGCATTCACTGTCGCACTTGAATCCATCTCTTTCCCTTACTCACACACCGGCTATGGATTAAATAGGAGAGTATATTGAACTCAATAGCCTTTCTTAGCAACTAGTCTTAACAAAAAAAAAAGAGGAAAAAAAACCTTTGAATTGATCTTTGTTTTTCTTAGCAACTAGTCTTAACAAAAAAAAAATTCCAAAGTCTATTTGGAACTATACATTTTTATTTAATTCTTTTTATCTAATTATTAGCCATTACTTTTGCCTGGAATTGATGCCAGTGGGTATCCATGATGGCTACCCTCGCTCTGAATTCATTTGTCGTTGCTATATATTTTTTTTATTAATACTTGAGGCATTTATTTAATCTACTTTGAATTTCTAAGCTTGTCAAAGCTTCATCAGAGCTCCATCAGTTGTGCATATTGATAACCAATATATTTTAGCATTAATTTGGTTAATTTACAGGAATTGCCAGAAGGAAGTCAGTTGACATTCAGCCACCTCAAGTGACTGCACTCCTTCGTTTATGCTACTTGACCGGTTTCCAATCACAGCTAGAGAGTCCAATCTGCCTGGCTATTTTACGAATAGTGGAAGTGATATAAGAAGAGATTCATACCTTTTCCCAATGAAATCACTGAGCCGACTTCATATTCCAGCCGAGTTTGTTGGGGAGTATATTGGGCACTATAGCCTTGGTTGGCAACTAGTCTTAAAAAGAAAAAATATGAAATCCAAACCGTGGAAAAAGCCACGGAAAACCATTTCATTATCTTTTCAAAGAAGTCACAGATAATGAAGAATCTCTCGAGAGAGAGCGAGAGAGAGAGAACTGCTATTACGAAGTAAACAACAAAAATGTGGTCTAGGCGAGTTGTTCATTTTCCTCTGATTTCATGGATTTTCAATTTAGTGCATGTGCCACTTTAATAAATTTCTCCATTGTCGGATTCTGCTGCTTTTTCCAATTTTGTCCTCCTGTGCAATCTTTGCTGCCTCTTTCAGCCAATATTTAGACGCTGTAAAATCTCGATCACATACACACACCACCACCACCACCTTGTCCGATTGTCAACGGTATTCGCTTTCTTTTTGCATTCATGGGAAAAAAAAAAACAAACTTCACCACTTGGAATAGAAATACGTACTCGAGATAAAGTCGTGACGTAAAGTGAATGACAGCATTACAGATTTGTTGGTCATGCTTCTTTCAGCATGTTTTTCCTCTCACTCTAATTTTGTTAAAATTATATTTCAACACTGTTTAAAAGTGGTCGACTGATATCAAACCAACCGACCGCTTTCTCTTTATAAACATGTAGTAACCAGCATATTAAATTCTATCATTTGGAACAGATACATACTCGGAACAAAGTCTTAGATTTAAAAACACTGTTACATATATTACTTATTACCATGCTTTTAAAAATTAAATCCTTCATTTTACTTTGTGTTTAAATAATTTTAACATTATTTAAAGTGGCCGACTGTCATCAACTTAACCGGCCTCTTCCCCTTCAGAAACAACAAACCCATCAGAAACTCCATCAATTCTAACAGATTTGTACACTGGACAGTTGTAAAATTCAATATTCACAAGGACCTGATATTTCGTTGGGATAATTCGGAATTCAGATAATCGGTGTTTGGATAACTGACGTCTCTTTCAAAAATCTCATTTACATATGGAGTAGCATTTCTGCTTAGGATCAACTTGTCACTTCCCGGCTCTTTGTATACACTCAAAGTGTCATTAATATCTGTTCCAATTCTTCTTTTCGATGTTTCTGCTTTCGAGCGGTTCACGGAAAAGCAACGACAGAAGATTAATCCCAAAGATTCCGACTCTGTGAGGAATCGGAGAGCCAAGTTCGAATTCCAGTCGAATCCATTACATTCACTTACGTGCTAATACCCTTGGGAAAGGTATGAATCTTCTCCTCCTCCCTGAAAAATGTTAGGAAAAATAAATGAAAAAAATGAAATAGAACAGACCTGGTTCTATAGCAAACGACAGAAGAAGATTAATTCCAAGGATTCCGACTCTGTCAGGAATCGGAGAGCCGAGTTCGAATTCCTGCAGAATCCATTACATTCACTTACGTGCTAATACCCTTGGGAAAGGTTTGAATCCTCTTCTTCCCCTCCAGCTATGGGTTTAATAGCAGATCAGACTGGGTTCTATAGCCGTGGATGGCAATTGGTTTACCGCAAAAAGAAATGGCAACCTACTGCGAGAAAAAAATCGTCAGTCATGTATCGAAAAATATATGATCACCTAAGCGTGTATCACGCATGACACATAACTGAATGAACAGCGTCTCAACAAAAATGTAATATAAAATGAATAGACAGGCCTTGTGTAATATTCTTGGTGACTAACGATTGTCGAAAATATTAAAAAAAAAAAAACATATCTGGAAACACATTGCATTTTTTATGGATTATAATTCATGGCAATTTTGTTTTTTCTCTTGCGAAGGAATACGATAAATAATGTTTTAAATTTTTCACTGACTAATTTAACTTTTTTTTTTATGATCTACATTTCAGTCCCTACTTAAAATCATATGTGCATAGGCGTAGCCATAGAAACATAAATTACATAAAAAAATTTTCTCTAAAATTTATCTTCAAATATTTTTTTTAGTTATAACAAG